GAATGAAGATGCTGATTTTTCTAATTCTCTTTATTTTGTTGTTCTTCTGGTGTTCTTGGCTCAAGACCTCAGCCCCAGTATGCTCTGGTGATTAGGGGCCTTTGTGTATTATTGGGCGCCCGTCTTCCGCTGAGAAGCCTGGTCGTGAAGCCCTGGAAAGGCTCACAGATCCATACTGAAGGATCTCGGTGAAGTAGCTTTTTCCTCATTTGTTTGGTCACATAAGTTAAAAATGTCTAAACAACTAACAAGGAAATTCAAGGACTGATTTAAAAGAAACTATTTTTCAACACAGTTTTGAAAGCTGACAGTTTTACTTCAACATGTATGCAGATGTAGTTGTCAGCTTCTACTCCTAGTAAATTGAATGTTCACAGATACAAATGGACCTAACGGAAAATTTAAACCTTGAAGAAAATGTCATTTTTTCCCCTCCTATAGATCTGCTTTTGCAAATATTTGTAGATACACTATTTAAGAGAGCACTGCTGCTCTTGAAGACAGATTTAAAGGCACGCTTACAATCTTTATTATAATTTGTGTTTTGCTGCAAGTGTTGCTGTGTTTGCAGAGACATTTATCACAAAGGACGTGACAGGATTCTGTGCAGTAAGTGCACTAATAAACCACTGTATGTCATGCCAGAATGTACAATCATTGGCATACTGCAGTATTTTTTTTTTCCTAAAATCACCCAAGCCCTTGTCAACATGACAATGCCCATGTAACGATAGCAGCAAAATTCCTCTTTTGCTGTCCAGCTCAGTCTGTATCAGGTGTGGGCTTGAAGAGACTGTAATGACTTAGGCTTTCCAAGAGTTTTACAGGTATAAACTGTTTTGGATACATTCTTCAGGTATGACTGCACTTGTAAAGACCTCCAGGAAGGATCTGACTTTAACATGTGTTTGTTGGCAATGATACCCAGTGTTAGAATTCTGATTTTCTTTGAATGCTTTACATCTAAATACAAGATTGTCCAGTAGCATAAAGCTATCGTGACAAGCTGACGGTATGCTAATAAGGCCATGACTTAATATGCTGAACTAAATTAAAACCCCACCAAAGCTTATAAAACAGACTTCAGAGTAATTTAATTCAAAGGAAAAAAAATATTTTAAAAGCTGCTTACATCTGACTGTGTCACATCTAAAGTACCCTAAAATCATCATACCACATAAAATAGTACTTGAGGCAAACTAGATAATTAAATAAAATAGTAGTTATATCAAAAGGACTTCTGCTTTGTGAAAGATCTGAATAGTAGAATTTTACCCCCCGAAGCACAAAAGACTGGATGACCTTGTAAAAGTCCTTTCCCGCTTCGTATCTCTTTCCCCCACCAATGCATGCATAGAACTTTAGCTTGGAATCAAGGTCACCAGATTCCATATCTCAATAATGCATTTTTATTATAAAAATAAAAAAATAATCAGGCATCACTCAACAACCTGTCTATTTTCCCTTGGAGTTTCCCCAGCCATTTTGGGGGGCGAAACTGTAAAAGCGTGTTGGGGTAGAAAGAAAGGGAATGAGCGACACTGTCTTTGCTGTAAATTAGTTATGGTAAAAATAAGGTTTACTTTTGGAAGGAGTCTGGTAATGGAAATGTTTTAGCTTTATATGTCTTTGATAATATGGTGTGTATCAAAAATACTGTGCAAGCTGGAACCCACATCGCTCCTTCAGGATGTTTCTCCTGTGATCGTCTTACAAGACAACAACCAGGCTTAAGTGTTAGTTACCAGTTTATGTTTGGTGGCTAGGACACAGAGGGGAAAAAACGCCAGAAATTCAAACTTGTGTATGTTATCCTGGGTGTATTTTAAATATAATCTGTAAGAGTAAATTGTTCTCCCTTTTATTCTAAATTATTCATAATTTCTGGAAGTACTTTGGGTTTGTGCTTGTTTTAAATTTCTATTTACTTCTCCAGCAAAAGAGGTTAATTTGGCTTAGATTTTTGTGGAACCACAGCCTGAAATTGAGGTTTCAGGCAGTCTGAGCAAACTGATGCCAAAAGAACAGCCTTGTTCCCTGTCCCCCGCGTACTGGCCTAGCAGGGAGGGGAAGAGTGTGAAGTCCGCTGTATCTTCCTGTGCTGCCTGGCAAATCTCCGTTCCCTCGGTTTTTAAGCACTTTCCCATACTGCTTCATGGAGGCAAAACCAGCACCTTCCAAGCTCTTTTCTAGAAGTCCAAAAGCTTTCATGACTCCCTTGGACATCAAAAAAGAATGAGAAAGCAAGTAGGTAGCTTGCTTGTAAAGCTTAATATTGTGCATCACATAGAGGAGACTCTGGAGCATAAGATGAGGTGGCTGGGGGTCTGTATTTTGTGATTTCAGACCACTGGTGCAAATGTTCAAAGTGCAGGAAGAACTGAACTTCATGATGGACGTTGCATAGTCTCAGCATAATCTGCATTTTTCTGCAGAAATTTGAAAAAGCATTTTAAAAAAAGATATCTGGTGTATTCTGGAGACGGCCATGGTTAAAAGCTTGTCCAGTCTGAAAAATGTTTCTCATCTGAGATTGTATTCAAAGGGCTCAAAGGTACCTTCCTCTCCTTGGCTATTTTCAAACTAGGGCTTCTTCTCTTTTTTAATACCTGGAGATTATCACATTAATTAGTGATCAATTTTTAGGTTTATACAAACATCAGGTAGCAATATCAAAAATATAAGCTTGATCAATGCGGAGGAGGGCTGTGATATTGGATTTGTCTAGGAACAGCGCTCGCCTCCGTTCTGTGACTGAACTAAATTCTGATTAGTTGCTAGTTGTTTGGTCTTTTTTTTCTTCAGTCTTCAAACACAGAGAAGCACAAAGTGTTTGTCTCGATTCTGGATTGTTTGTCTTACAGATTCTCGAATTCAAGCCTTCGTAATGAATTCCTGTCAGGGAGCAGAGATGGGAATCAGTTTCTGTAGGTAAATGAAGGTAACTAAATGGCTGATTAAAATGGACTTAAAATGCCAGTTTAGTTTTTACTGCTGCTCCTATCCTTGCTCCTCCTTTTTTCTCCTCATCATCCTTTAATGCCTTGTTTTTTAATTGTTGATAATATTATCTAATTACTGAAAGACCAGCACAGAGGGCAATACAGATGCTTCAACTAGTATAGAAAACCTAAGTTCAACTGAAGCGATGCAACCTATTCTGCACCTTTCTTAATGACCCGAGGAGTCCTGACGAGGCTCAGGCAATATTATCAGCTAA